GAGAGAGAGAAAGAGAGAGAGAGAGAGAGAGAAAAGAGAGAGAGAGAGAGAGAAAGAGAGAGAGAGAGAAAGAGAGAGAGAGAGAAAGAGAGAGAGAGAGAAAAAGAGAGAGAGAGAGAAAGAGAGAGAGAGAGAAAAAGAGAGAGAGAGAGAAAGAGAGAGGGAGGGAGAGAAAGAAAAAGAGAGAGAGGGAGGGAGAGAAAGAGAGAGAGGGTATGAGAGACCTATTGAGACAGGTTGATAACTAATAAATAGCCACTAGTGCACATCATGGAAACCTTGTAGAAGGGCATCTGTACTTTTTAATAACTTATTTACTTATTGATTTATTTATTAATATATATTTATTTATTCATTCATTTATTTACTTTTATTATTTTTATTCTGTACTTAAGTCAGATATGCGAAGCTGTGGACCTCGCCCGGGCTATGGCTATGTACTTGCACTTGACAGGTTGAACTAATTAAAAAAATTGACAGTTTTGAGAGATGATTATTTGATAATTGGTAATGACAATCTTTTCAGATACATTGCAATTAGTATTTAATCACCTCTTCATACTGTATTAAGACTAAGTATAGTAGTACGTCTAAGGTTGCCTTGGGTTGAACCACATGCCACTGTGAAGCAGATAGGAGCAGCTGCTGAAAGGGAGCGTGAGTGTATGGAGTCAGCTTTTCAGTCTCTCTCATTCTCTATCTCTCCCCTAAGCCATTTGTCATCTGCCATCTCTTTTCTGAAGGGTGAGTCATTTTTAGCTAAGGTTTTGTGCTCTTTGGTTGCTCTCTCTCCCCCCCCCACCCTCTCTCTCTCTCTCTCTCGCCATCTCTCTCTCTCTTTCTCTCTCCTCTCCACTCTCTCTCCTCTCTCTCTCTCTCTCTCTCTCTCTCTCTCTCATCTTTCTTTTCTTATCTCTCTCTCTCTCTCTCGCTCTCTCTCTCTCTCTCTCGCTCTCTCTCTCTCTCTTCTCTCTCTCCTCTCATCTCTCTCTCTCCTTAGCCATTTGTCACCTGCCACCTTTTCTGAAAGTAATCATTGTTAGTTAAGGTTTTTTGCTCTTTGTTGCTCTCCTCCTCTCCCCCCCCCCCCCCTCTTCTTAACCCATTTCGTGACGGGTGTCACTTATCCGTGATATACCCACTGTGAGTTTACTTGTTTAATTGTTTTTTTAAACATAGATGGCTTGTACTTGTACTGCCTGTCTCCGTCTCCATCTCCGTCTCCCTCTCCCTCTCCCTTTCCCTCCCCTCTCCTCTCCCTATTCCCTCCCTCCCCTCCCTCTCCCTCTCCCACCTCTCCCTCTCCCGCCATCTCCCTCTCCCCCTGTCCCTCTCCCTCCGGCTCCCTCCCCTCTCCCGCCGCCCCTCTCCCTCCGTCTCCACCTCTCCCCCGTCTCCCTCTCCCTCTCCCTCGTCTCCCTCTCCCTCTCCTCCGTCTCCCGCTCCCTCCCCTCCCGGCTCCCTCTCTCCCTCTCCCCTCCCGTCTCCCCCTCTCCCTCTCCCTCTTCCCTTTTCCCCTTCCTCTCCCTCTCCCTCCTCTCTCTCTCCCTCTCCTCTTCCCTCTCTCCCCGTCTCCCTCTCCTCGCTCTCCCTCTCCCTCTTTTTCTCCGTCTTCCTCTCCCTCTCTCTCCGGTCCCTCTCCCCTCTCTCTCCGTGACCTCCCCTCTCATCTCCGTGTCCACTCCCTCTCTCTCCGTTCCCTCTCACTCTCTCTCCGTGTCCATCTCCCTCTCTCTCCCTCCGTGTCCCTCTCCGTCTCATCTCCGTTGTCCCTCTTCTCCCTCCTCTCATCATCCGTGTCCTCTCCCTCTCCTCCGGTTCCCCTCTCCTCCCCTCCGGGTCCCTCTCCCCTCTCTCCGTGTCCTCTCTCCTCTCTCTCCGTGGTTCCCTCTCCCCACTCTCTCGCGTCCCTCTCCCTCTCTCTCTCTCCGTGCCTCTCTCTCTTCTCTCCGTCCTTAACTCGCATCTCTCTCCGTGTCCCTCGCTCTCTCTCTCCGTTCCCTCTCTCTCCTCTACTCTCTTCTCTCTCTTCTCTTCTCTTCTCTCGCTCCTACTCCTCTCTCTCTCTCTCTCATCTTCGCTCTCTCTCTCTCTCTCACTCTCTCTCTCTCGCTCTCTCTCTCTCCGTTCCCCTCTCCCTCTCCTCGTCCCTCTCCCTCTCTCTCCGTGTCCCAATCACCTCATATCTCTCCGTGTCCTCTCCTCTCTCCCTCTCTCCGTGCCTCTCACTTCTCTCTCGTGTCCTCTCTCTCTCGTCTCGTGTTCCCCCTTCTCTCTCTCTCTCCGAGTCCCTCTCTCTCTCTCGCTCTCTCCCTCTCTCCTTCTCTCTCCTCTCTCATCTCTCTCTCTCTCTCTCTTCTCTCGCTCCTCTCTCTCTCTCTGTCTCTCTCTGTCCGCGCTTCTGTCTCTCTCTGTCTCTCTCTCTCTCTCTCTTCTCTCACTCTCTCTCTCTCTCTCTCTCCTCTCTCTCTCTCTCTCTCACTCTCTCTCTCTCCTCTCTCTTCTCTCTCCTCTCTCTCTCTTGTCTCTCTCTCTCTCTCCTGGCCTCTCTCTCTCTCTCTCTCGTCTCCCCCCCTTTACCCCCTGTCACGCTCTCTCTCTCTGTCTCTACCTCGTCTTCTCTCTCCTGTCTCTCTTCTCTCTCTTGTCCTCTCTCCCTCTCTGTCTCTCTCTCGTCTCTCTCTCTCCTCTCTCTGTCTCTCTCATCCTTTCTCTCTCTCTCTTTCTCCTCTCTCCCACTCTCTTCGACTCTTTCTCTCACTCTCTCTCTTTCTCACATCTCTCACTCAATCTTTCCTCTCTCTCTCTCTCCTCTCTCTCTCTCTGTCTCTCTCTCTCTCTCTACTCTCTCTAAGTCTCTCTCCTCATCTCTCTCTCTCTCTCTCGCTCTCTCCTCAATTGTCTCTTCTCCTCTTTCTTTCCTTTTTTCTCTGTCTCTCTCTCTCTCTATCTTATGGCTCTCCTTTCTTTCCTTCTTTCTCTGTCTCTCTCTCTCTCTATCTTATGTCTCTCCCTCTTTCTTTCCTTCTCTTCTCTCTGGCTCTCTGTCTCCTCTCTTGTTCTGTCTGACTGTCTGTTCTCTCTCTCCTCTCATCTCGCTCTCTCTCCTCGTCTCTCCTCTCTCTTCTCCTCCGCTCTCTCTCTCTCTCCTCTCTCACCTCACGCTCTCTCTCTCTCTACTCTCGCCGCTCTCTCTCTCTCTCCTCTCTCTCCTCTCTCTCATCTCTCTCTCTCTCTTCTCTCTCTCCTCACTCTCTCTCTCTCTCCGGCTCACTCTCCTCTCTCTCTCTCTGTCCTCTCTCTCTCACTCTCTCTCTCTCTCAATCGCTCTCCACTCTGTCTGTCCTCTCTCTCTCTCACTCTGTCTCTCTCTCTCTTTCCTCTCTCTCTGTCTCACTCATCGCTCTACTCTTCCTCTGTCTCTCTCTCTCTCTCCTCTCTCTCTCTCTCTCTCTCTCTCTCTCTCCTCTCTCTCGCGTCTCACTCCTCTCTCTCCTCTCCTCTCTCCCTCTCTTCTCGGTCGTCTCTGTCTGTCTGTCTGTCTGTCTCTCTCTCTTCTGTCCTGTCTCTTCTCCCTCTCTCTCTCTCTCTCTCTCTCTCTCTCTCTCCTTCTCTCTCTCTCTCTCTCTCTCTCTCTCTCTCTCTCTCTCTCACTCTCTCTCTCTCCTTTCCTCTCTCCGGCTCTCTCGCTCTCTCTCTCTCATCTCTCCAGTCTCCCTCTCTCTCCTCTCTCTCTCCCCGTCTCTCTGCTCCTCTCTCTCTCTCTTCTCTCGTCCCGTCTCTCTGTCTCTCTGTCTCTCTGTCTCTCTCTCTGTCTCTCTGTCTCTCTCTTCTCCTTCTCTCTCTCTCTCTCTCCGTCACTCTCTCTATCTTATGTCTTCCCTCTTTCTTTCCTTCTCTCTCGTCTCTCTCTCTCTCTCTCTTCTCTGTTCTCTCTCCGTTCTCTCTGTCTCTCTCTCTCTCTCGCTCTCTCTCTCTCAGTTTTCCCCTCGTCTCTCTCTTCTCTCTCTCCTCCTCTCTCTCTCTCCTCTCAACTCCTCCTCTCTCTCTCTCTCTCTCTTTGTCTCTCTCATTGTGTTTTCCTGTCAGTCCTCTCTCCTCTCTCGCTCTCCCTCCCTCTCTCCTCTCCTCTCTCTCCTCTTCTCATCTCCTCTCGCTCTCCTCCATCTCTCTCCTCCCTCATCTCTCTCTCTCCGTCCGTCTCACCTCTAATCTTATGTCTCCTCCTCTTCTTTTCCCTTCTCTCTCTTCTCTCTCTCTCTTCTCTCTCTCCGTCTCTCTCTCTTTCTCTCCGCTCTCTCTCTCTCTCTCGCCCGTCCTCCTCCTCTCTCTCTCCTCTCCAGTCTCTCTGTCCCTCTCCTCTCTCTCTCTCTCTTTCTCTCTTTCTCTCGTCTTCTCTCGCTCTCTCTGTCTTTCTCTCTCTCTCTGTCCGTTCTCATCTCTCTCTCTGGTCTTTCTCTCTCTCTCTCTGTCTTTCGCTCTCTCTCTCTGTCGTCTCTCTCTCTGTCCTGTCTGTTCTGTCTCTCTCTCTGTCTGTCTGCCTCTCTCTCTCATCTGTCTGTCTCTGTCCTCGCTCCGCCGGTCTGTCTCTGTCTGTCTGCTGTCTGTCTCTGTCTGTCTGTCTGTCTGTCTGACGTCCCTGTCCGCTTCTGCTCTCTCTGTCTGTCTGTTTTCTCTGTCTGTCTGTCTGTCTGTCTCGTCTGTCTATTCTGTCTCTGTTTCCCCTCTGTCTCGGTCTGTCTATCTGTCTCTTTTTCTCTGTCCTCTGTCTGTCTGTCTGTCGTCTCTGTCTGTCGTCTGGTCTGTCTGGTCTCTCTCTCAGTCTCTCTCTCTCTCTGTCTCTCTCTCTCTCTCTCCTGTCTCTCTCTTTCTCTCTATGTACAGATATATATATATATATAATAAATATATATAGATATATATAATATATAATATATAAAGATATATGTATATATAATAATATATATATATATAATATATATAATGAATATATATATATAATATATGAATATAGATATATGAATATATATATATGAATATATAATACTTAATATATATATATGAATTTAATATATGAAATATATATATAATATAATAATATATATAAATGAATATATATAGTTGAAAATATATAATATAATAATAATATATGAATATATATATATAAATACATATATATATATTTATAAATAATTATATCTAAATATATATATATAATATATTTATATATGTTTATATAATATATATATATATATATATATATATAATATATAAATATATAATATAATAATATATAAATATATATGTATATATATATATATATATATATATATATATATTATATAATATATAAATATATATATAATAATATTATGCATGTATATAGATATATATATATATAAAAATATATATATAAATATATAGATAATATATATACAATATATGGCATGTAGATATATATATATATAGAAATATATATAATGAATATATATATAAAATATATTATATATATATATATATAAAATATAAATATATAAACGTAAATGTATACATTATAATCATATATGTATAGATATAAATATATAATACGAAATTATACATTATAATATATTATAATAATAAAAATAATCTATAGGTATAAATATATGTATAAATAATAAGTATATATATATATGTATATAAAACTATGTATCTATATATTCTATATATATCTATATAAAATGAAATATATATATATGTAAATATATAAATGTATATATCTATGTATATAATATGTATCTATATATATGTATATATAAATGTATATATATATGATATATATATATGTATATATAATAATGTATATCTATAAATGTATATATATATATTTATATATATCTAAGTATTAATATATGTCTAAATATATATTATAAGTATAAGTACTATTATATGTAAATTCAAGTATATGTATATGTAGATATATATGTATATATATATATATAGTATATATATATAATATATATCATCTAATAAATCTATCACACTAACTATTATTGAGTGTGTTTGTGAGACTCTGTAACATGTAATCAGTATACTCAGTATATGAATCACTATAACTGATAATATAAACAAGCAAAAAACAATGCATATCAATCAAACAAATGTACATAAAACTCTCTCTAAAAACTAATAATAAAACTCTCATCTATATATAAATTGTATACAATAAAAGTATAAATATGAAAACACATATCAGTCAATATATGTTATAGTATCAATCGTATCTAATGTCTCTCTATTATCTATAATTTATATGTGTATCCTATATGTCATAAAATCTATAACAATAAATCACTATATATATACTATCTAATTCAATACAATATACAATCTATATATAATATATGTGTGCAGTGTGTAATCAAATATATATATGTTTAAGTATAAATCAAAATTATATGAATCAGTACTCTATATATAAGTCATTCAATCTACTATCTTATATGAATATCATAAATGTCTCTCTAACTGTCTCATATAATAGTCACAAATCAGTGTAAACTTAATACACTCACAAAACAGTCTCAGTCCATTCACATCTCTCACTGAAACTCTCACATATACTCAATCACATCACAGTCTCACTCAATCTGTATCACAAACTACAAACACTCAAAGTATCTCTACTGTCACACTCACTACTCACCTTTCCTGACAAACTAACTCTAACTCACACAGTCACTAAAAAATGTCTATCACTCCTCTTTCTCGCTCTATCAATCATACTCTACACAATCATTCAATGTCTCACTCTCACTGAATCATCCACTGACTCACACTCAACTAAACACAGACTCTCTTCTCTAAGACCCCATTTCACATTACAAACACACACTTACACACTCTCAGTCTCCACTACTTCACTCTGTCAATCAATATTTATGAATATATATTTATGAATATATGTATATCATCAATGTTATTAACATTGTTTTACACACTGCTATTTTCCTCCCTGTTGAATTGTCCTCTTTCGAAAATATTTGCATTGTCAGTGAAATACTGAACAAGCATGGCAGGTCCATTTTTACATGTCAGAGACATCAGGAAATCCTTTCCTGGTATTTCAATCCCGTCATATTCAAAGGATATTGTCATACGTAAAGTGAGGAGAACTTGAAATTTTGCAATTTTCTACCTGTTTTCAGAATTTATAGTAAATTCTGATTCATTTATAGAGCAGTCAACCGTTAATATTATTTGCATTTTCAGGATTTGGTGCCAGTGTGTCATGCAGAGTGGTGTCTGAGCCAGTCATCAAGTGGACTGACTACCCCTTAAGCCTCTTGGTGAAACTTCTCTTCCTTTTGGACAAGGGGGATTTGACTGCTCAAGAGAGGAGTAATAAGGCAAAGGCTGCAGCTCAAGCTTTTCATGCCATATTGGTGAATGGGATCTGCAGTTCTGACCCAGTTCGAAATGAACTGCAGAAACGTCTTAAAGTGCTAGTTGATTATGGTTTCTTCGAACTGCGAACTGGCACTGAAGCTGCTAAGTATCATGTTATTCAACAGGATAAAGATCTCCTTTCATTGATTGATGCCTGCCACTGTCTGGGCATTCACACAAATAATGCTTTGGAGGACAAGATAAGAAAAGTCAGAAGGAAGCTGAGGCTAACACCTGTGGAAACTACTAGGAACTTCTTCATACATTCAGAAAATCTCTGGATAATGAAGATGTGTGATTTACTAACTCCTAGACAAGTACACAAATTTCTGGCTATTATTCAGGAAAAGGGTCTTTTCCATAGATCCTCTGATCGATACTTTACTGTATTTGAAGAAAGCATGGTGCAAATTGATGGAATGAAGGAATGTTTATTCTTTTACATGATCCGATGTCTTCAGTTCAAAGGAACCTACACTAAAACAGTTAAGGATGTTCTAGAAAAATTGGGACAAGGAGCAAAAACATGTAGAGAGGCAAATATCATCACAGACCTTACAAATGGTTTAAGGTGTTATCCCTCAAAATGCCACCCTACAGGATACTGTATTGTTTTCTGTGTAGTTGGGGACAGAGATGGAGCAGAGAGTGAAATAGGGGAAATTCAGAGAGTATTTGATAAAAGTCTAGGATTCGTAGTTGAAATACAGAGAGATCCAGTAAAGGATACAATTAACACAGTCCTAGAGAATTTGAAGAGCCCAAAATATGATTTCTATGATTCGCTGATAGTGTGGTTTATAGGCAGAGGAGGAGATGAGTTTAAGCTTGCAGATGGCACTTACTACAGTAAGAAGAAGATACCAAGTGATTTTTCTGGATTAAAGACCTTCAGTAAGAAACCAAAGTTGTTCTTCATGGTCTCAGATCAAGAAGAATTGCCAGTTATTAGTCATGGTGAGTATATGATAAAATTATATTTGTTTTTGTTAGCTTGTAATATTGTCCTTTCTTTTGTAGCATAATTCTTGGTAGATGTTTTGGCATAAGGTCCATGGCAGCCCTTCAAATGTAACAACTTCTACTGTTTGTCAAATATATGGCCCATTATTTTTTTTTATTGTGAGTAGCATGACATCAATAAAGACTATTGGGTGAAAATGTGCAACTGGCCCTTTCCGGCAATCAATTTTGGACACTAGTTTAGCAAATAACATTATGCACTGATTAGTATTATCCTAGTTTTGCCTGTCAAGTAAACAATTGGTTTTGTAACATTTCCTTTTTTTATATTTTCAATGGTGCAGTGTCTTCATTGATAGCTATTCAGAGTACTTATATATCTTTATTTATTTTTTAGCAAAAATAGTAATTTTGCTCAGTTGTTTATTTATTAAGTGGATAAGCTTACTTTTGTTGGTAAGGTAATATTTTTTAGAATGCTTTTTTTTAAAAACTAGAAGTAGATTATAAAAGCAAATTTGATCATATATGTTTGATTCTACATTATTATCACTGTGAGTTATGATTTATATTAACCTTAGCATTACTTTATCATGGAAGCATTATGATGAGTAGAGAAAAAAATCTCTAGTACTTCTCTATATTTTTCATCTATCTTTACTTATTAGGTTTAAAACTGGAAGTGCATGTATTAATATTGTTTACTCAAATGGAACCAAAAGCAACAAAG